CATCCGTCTGGAGTGCAAGTATTAAGAAACACAAGTTGTTAAGACATTTCCGCGAAGATCTCCCTGTTCTATTCTGCCCGCAATGCGACTTTAAGACTAAAAATTCTGATAATCTTCGACGACATAGAAGAATAATCCATCGCAGGGATAATCTATTTAACCACAGTAGTGTGTCTGATAACTATCGCAATATTCCTGCGTTGGTAAATGAGAGTGGTAAAACTGACCAAACTGGGCTTAGAATCCACATAGAATCTAGAGCAAATGAAGATGTAGAGAAATTAGCTGTTCTGAAATCACCAAAACTTGAGCAAAGGGAGGTTTACATAACAAGTGATGCCCCCGTCATTAACTACTTTGATGTGATAAATGGTCAAAATGATGTATTAGGTAATACCGTTTTGCCAGATCATCATCCATAAAGCTTGTTTTCCTGTCGACATTATTTAAAACATCAGTAATTATCAATATATTAACAAGTTGAAATAGTAAACAATTTGTCTAAAATTGAGTTCATCTACCTTTTTGCAAACACCTAATCTATGGCATTGTTGTTAAGGAAATTGTTAAAAGTGACTTCAACTTTAGTGATTGAAATATATATCAATAGCAACTTTTCCTATAAATCAAGTATTTTAATAGTATAAAATAACGTCTACCGGAAAACACTATAATCTGTAGTTATATGCTTTTGGCTTTACAAGAACTACTTTTTACATTATCTTCTGTATCACTTTTAAAAACATGACTTTCATCTGTTATACTATATAATTGACCAACTGTTCAACTTTGAGCAGGGTGGCCTAAAATGGGGAGGGGGTATGTTGGGCCATGTCCTCCTGTCTGGGAGAAAAATCACAGTTCATCGAGGAGAAAAACATTTATTTACATATATAAAATAAGCCTTTGAAACCTGTGAATTGTCATATTTTTTGGGGGTGGGGGCTTCGTCATCAGGACCACTTATATGTCCTCCCCCCCCCCCCCACCAGGCCAACTTCACTCACTTTGAGGACATGGTGCCTTTTACAAGGCTCTTAATGTATTGTTGTTTTTCTCCACTCAAAATTATAAGCTGGTTATTGTTGCAACATTACAGTATGGTATTGTAAGTGCTCGAATAAGCACCGCTTTTGAATAAGTGCCTCTCTCAAATAAGCGCCACACCAAACCTGATTTTGTCCTCTTTCGAATAAGCTTAATCAAGAGTATGTAATTACCCTGTGTATAATGAAACACTTTGAGAAACAGAGTTTTAAATACAGCGCCTCTCTAGAATAAGCGCCGCACTGAAGCCTCCAAAAATTTTATAAGTACCGCAGTGCTTATTTGAGTACTTACGGTATGTTCTGTGTATTTGTCATTGACATTTATGAATCAAATAATAAATATAGTACAGTTGTAGCCCTCTGGTAAAGGTTTGTACAAATGGTGTGATATAAAGGACATTTTTAGGTAGAGCATAGTATTCTGCTGGTAACAAATTAGTGCAATATATTAACTATTTAATCAGCTATCAGAAAAGCTATTAAGAAGTATAGACTTTATCCAATTACAGCAACTTCTCACTGTAGTCATTATTTTATGTAAGTAGTTTTTAAAGTATTTAATTTAAGTGAATATTTCTCTGCAGTTTACTGTCTGTGTTATTATATAGTACACTTGGGCACAGTGGCATATCTACGGGAGGGGTTGGGAACATTCCTCCCCCCCCCCCTTCGAAAATAACCTCCGTGCCAAATAACTTGCGCCAGCCTCCCCTTCCTCTTTTAGGCAGACCCAATTTGATGAGCAAAAAAATTACACTAAATTTAAGTAGTTAAAAGTCACCTAAATTTACCAGCTACTGTAGCACCACTGGTCAAACAAAATTCAATATTCAATTATTAGCTGCATAAATACTGCTGTACTGGTTTTGTATCCATTGCATATAAACCATGAAATTGAAGTCAACAATTTGATGATTTTCGTAGTTAAAACATTAAAAAAAACTATATTGTTTGGCCTGTACTGTATGTTTATATACTTTAATGATTTAATACAATTTCAGATAGTTTTCCCAAATTTTAATCTCAGTGAATCATATTCATTGTAAGATGCTGTTATCATAACTGAAGGTATCAAGTGACTTGGAAATTGTATTATTACTGTACCTTTGAATAATATAAAATATATATAAAGATTAAATGATTTCATTTCATTGAATTTTGTATTCAAAACTGTATATCTAATAAGATAATAATACAAAGTAAAAATTTTATCTAATATGTGTTGCTGTACTCCAAGAAATAATAATATTTAATATTAATATTTGAATTTTGTCAATTGTTCAAACAACTCCATGAGTTAATAACGTGACAGTGAGAACCATAATGTCATTTTATTCAATTTCTTTCTATATGATTTACTTGTGTTTGAGCCATGAGTTGTAAATAAGAGCATTTATTTGGAAGCAAAAAAAATGTATTACCCACAACCGACTGGCCCCAAAATTTCAGTATTGGATTTTTTTTTTCACATTTGAACTTGCAACAATTTGGCATGTAAAATAAAATGGACTTAGAAATTACTATATCCAAAATAAATAACTGTATTTTTAAAATTATTATGTGCAGTATAATATAACTAAATGATAACTACAAGATCAGTTTCTGGACCATATTAAAAATAATTTAATATATTTATTTTGTAAACTTATTTTTTCTCAAGTTGTCTATATTGTATTTAATACAATGTTCTTTGTAATTGCCTAATTAATGACTATTTCATTCTGTCTGTTGAGTTCAATGCAATACATTTTAATATATCCTTATTTAATATACTCCTCCTGTAAGCTATTTTTTTCTCAAATTGTCTACTGTATTAAAATGAAACACTCTTTGTAATGGCATAATTTATGACTATTTTTTTCTATATTGTATTCAATACAATACATTTTATTCTTTTTTTTTGTCTATAGTGTATTTAATGCAATGTTTATTGTAGAAGCCTTTAATATTTTATCTATATAAATATATCTACTGAAATACTTCCACCCAAATTTGTATACATTTTTTTCGTATTTTATATAATGCAATGCATATTATTGTATCAGCCTTATTTTATGTATTTAAATCTACTGCAATCCTGCCACCTAAATTTGTAATACACTTTTTTGTCTATATTGAATTTAATGCAATGCTTATTGTATAAGCCTTATTTTGTTGCACTTTTGCCTTATCTTGTCAAGACTATTGTACTAAGCATTGCTCTGAACAGCCAATTTTGTTCTGCAGATGCATTGCCTCCTTACATGCATAGTGAAATATGATTTTGATTGCTATGTTAACTTGCGATATCAGAAGAGTAATTTGATTACAATAATAGTATTTATTTTTTAAATCAATTTAAAAATTATTTTACTGGATAGATATTTTTAAAATTACCAACCAAGGCCGTTTTAATTTAAAATAGTCTTGAATTAGAATTCTTTCATACCAGAAGTTGGTTTATATTACCATGGAGGAAATATATTAATTACGGTAGACTGCTAGCAATTTTGTTTACATATTATATGAACAGACTACTTTGATTAGTTTTTGTTTCATCTATTTTATAAGGTAGATTATCTTATAGATATTGCCAATTAGCAGGTATGCTAGTTTTAATAAATGCCAACCAAAATTAGATTGAATGTCTGTTTTTTTATTTTTTTATGTATTTATTATTTTTTTTATAATCTTTTGAAACCAGGCTTAACTTATTCATTTAAGTGAGCAATTACTTTAATTTATTTTTTCTTTCACTTTCTCTCACAGAAGTAATGCAAAACCTCGAATAGAAGCCCAATGGGCTTAGTCTTGAGAAGAAGCCATCTCGAATTGAAGCCACCCTCTTTAGTTGGCAAAAGTACAGTGCATACACATACAAAATAAATTAAAGACATGATTGGTTTATACAGTTTATTAGGTGTTTCCATGATGTTACAGTGGCCCTATTTATTGTTTTATAGTAGTAATTCCCAAAAATTAAAGCATTCATTTTTAAAAAGAATGCCCCTTCTTTACTTTGCAAAGGCAGCCTCGAAAAGAAGCCATTCATCCAAAGTTTGTAAAAGAAAAAAGAAGCCCAGGGCTTCTATTCGAGGTTTTACGGTATATACTTAACTGATGTTGCTGAGGACCAGGGTTTCCGTAGTCTTCAGCTTTGGTTTGGGAATAATAAAGATAAAAGACATTTGTTAATATGGTACTAAAGAAAAGTGGTCTTTAATTGAGGAGGTCATTATACTGTAGCGCAAATAAGCGAGGTCTTAATGGGCTACGAGTGTGATTGCAAGCTGTGAAATCAAAGAGGAATATAAGGCATCCAACCCCCAGCGCGTTTTTTATATATTCAAAAATCTGTGACTCATATTTATTAGCAATGCCCGAGTATTTCTTCAAAAACTTGAAGACAATTCATTTGGACAATTTTTTTTTCTCTTCACACATTGGCTTTAAAGATAATCCACCGCTAACACACCTCGTCAATTTTGATAGGAGGCTGTGCTGCTACTGTATAGCGTAAAAGGAGCAGGGGCGGCGCTTGTGGGGAAAGGGGTAGGGTCGGGAGAGCTTCCCCTCCCTCACGTCGTGGAATACAACCACAATCGCCGGAGAGAAAAAAAATTATATGTATTTTCTACATAGGCCTAATAGTAGACTCGCCACCTTTATCTCGTCGGGGACATCCCCCCCCCCCCCCACCTGTCGGGGACCTCGGAACCGTCGGGAAAATCCTGATTCCACTCCTAAATAGGAGCATTTATAGTTAATTACGGTCGGCGTATGCAGGTCCAATCCTTACATTATTCTGTTAATTTTGGATTTTCTTGTGACGTTTTTGCGGATAATAAGCCATGTTGAATTCACGCCATGATGCGCTATATAAGTCTACCATTATTATATTTCCAGCATAGAATCTTATAGCACTATTATATATATACTATGTATATGTATATATATATATATATATCTAATTATAATTATAGAGTGTACAATTGCAAAAACGATTGTCCATCAATAATACTTAAAAGTTGAATTCCATAGATTCTTATTCTCCATTGTTCGTGAATCCTCTTCTTCTAAATGTTTCTTACAATTTCCAGCATGTTTCCCATAAATTACTAATCCGACGTTATGATTTGTGTCGTCATATTGTATTTGTCGTTATGATAATGCTTGAATCAATGATTTTGTCACTGTTATTTCGGCGTTTCCCGAGAACTATTGTAAATGCTTAGGTAGAGATTGTAGCGTAATGAAGTTTGTATAAACGGTATGATGCGGGCTTGTTTTTCATGTACTGTCTCTGAAGTGCCAGTGAGCTCAATCTGCTTCACTTGAGAATGTACCGTGGCAAGAAGATCAAGCAAATTTAATTTCCTTGCATAGTTTTCCAAAACATCAAACAACAACGTAACGTACAAACTGTACACACTAACGGTAGAATTCAGTAACATCGTGTGCGGAATCCCGGCAACCGTCAGAAGAAAATCTTCCTCATCTGGAATGAGGTCCACGGTTGCTGAAATGCTCTTATCTTTATACGATGCACCCTTGTTCGTACTTTCGTTGTCGCCCCGAGGTGATGCGGTACTAGTTTTATCCTCCAGTATTTGCAAGAAAAACAGCTTAGGTTTTCCCGCAAGTGTCGGGCAGTTGGTGGCTGTGAAGATATCCGTGAGTTGACGTATGTCAACCTTGACGGAATCATTGCCACGGACGTTGCCTAACGTACTCGATCCTGTTGACAGGATGACGAAAACGATGCAGTCAACGTAGCGATGGTCTTCTAAGGATATAAAGCGAAGAGCGGAGATGATATCTAGTGACATCAAACCTTTCATAATTCGCACATTGAAGCCGAGTTTGATCAGCACACTGCGAAGTTTGTCTGTGGAAATTATTATATAATTATTTAATCAACGTATTGTGAGAAAAAAATTATTTGAATACTGATTATTGTTTAAAACTAAGACTTAACATGTTTAATCATTTTTCTTTTTATATTGTATTTAAATACATTTTACAATTAGAGGCATGGTCGTATCAAGGAGGTACTATATACCTCCTTGGTTAATCCATTCTCTGTGTCATGTAATGCTAAACCGCATAGTCCTACCTGTGTCAGTGTTGTCATCAATGTGATTTTCTTCTGTTGGGAAATTATCAATAATGACTGCTACACCTCTTGGTCTAGTTCTCATCCTGTAGCATGGACGTTCTACATGAGAGTCACGATTACTTCGAAATTCGACCATCTCCCTCGACAACGCCATCTCTCTGGCCCATATCTGGTATTCCCTGAGGTCTTTCACTCCACGAGAAATAGGCCCTCTCAGTGCCAGTGTCAATCTATTACCTTCCCATTCGATGGACGTCAGTTTGTCCAAACCTGGAGCTAGGTATGCTGGCAAGCCATAAAGACGGTTGTTTTTAATCTGGAGATCTTGTAATAGAGGAAGTTCTGCCAGACTCTGCGGAAGCCATTCGATCTGATTGTCATTCAACCACAATGACTGAAGTTTTACAAGTTCATTTATTTCAGAAGGAATAAATGTCAGACGATTGTTATCAATAAATAGTTTTTCAAGATTCTGCAACTCTGAGCAGCAGATTTCGGCGGGAAAATCCGAGAAGTTGTTGTCTGTAAGATCTAATAGTCTCAGAAATCGGAGATTCCTAACGTCGGCCGGAAGTCGTGTCAATGAGTTACTGCTAAAATATAAACGCACTAAAGATTTAACTTGACAGAGAATCGCTGGGAAAGATTCAAACTTATTACTTTCTAGATATAACCATCTTAATTTGATGAGTTGAGTAATTTCTTTTGGCAGATCACATAGTCTGTTTACGTTCAAATTAAGCCATTGTAAGTCTGTCATCTTGCAGACTTGTACTGGTAACCTCTGCAAGTGTCGATAATTGAGATCAACTCTCAGATCAAACGAATGGCTTCTAAATGGCACGATATTTAATTTTTCTAGAGAATGAATAAGCTCTGAATCCTTCATTGTATCCATAGTGATGCGGGTCTTCCTGTACAGCATCTGTAGCACCAACAGCATATACGGTAGATATATAGTATCCACCCATGCATTAACTTGACCTGCGGAACTAGGATACCTTTTATAAATTTATGAAAAATGACACCTGCTTTAAACTCATGCTGAGCTAATAACTGGAAGGCTGTGAATCGCGTTATGATCAGTGTGTACTACGAAGGCCTACATAACAACACATTTCGCTGCCTCACTTTCAATGAACCAATCCATTTAGAAGTCATCTTTCGGAAAAGTCTGCAAACTCAACTACTGATGTGGTACTAAACTAGAATGAGTCCTGTACTCTGGTGATATAATCAGTTATGGATAATAGCAAACAAGTCCATAAGTCGTTACACGGAAGCTGATGTGATTTGAATATCGATCAAGAGGCTTATGAGATGCCTCAGTGATCACTACGTACACACAGTAAAGATTCACAAAAGCAGACAATAGAGAAGCATCAAAGGACAAAAAGGTTATCAAAAACAAACAGTTCGTGTACCTACCTCTCGAGGGGTGATGTATCCCGTTTACCTGTTTGATTGAACTGATTATTGACTGCGAGCACTGCCATTTATATCGTGCTAAATTAGATGTATGTACTGTATACATAGGCCTCACAAATATAATGATAAGTGTTGAAGCAGTTCTTGATGAGTGCAAGTAGTAAAGCCTATAATAAGCGTAGGCCCATATTATAAGTACTGTATGAGCAAACTGTGTGTCAGATGATCTAGTCACATTAATTCAATTTAATTAACATAATTTGCCACACCAAACCATGTGTATTCTTTTAATTCGTGAAACAAACGCGGACTGTATCTCTAATGTGTATCACCTAATAAGTCCACGAGAGTGGACGAAATATTCGTATTTAGTAAATTATGTTCCAAAAAACTCAGTGACTTTTGTTTTTATTGTCATCGCCTTCTCCACTATATTTATTATGGAACAACGTGCTGCATCATTTCGCAATGATACATCTTTATATCTGTCTCTTATACACATCTAGAAGTGTATAAGAGACAGCTACATGAGAGTCACGATTACTT